TATATATATATATATATGTATAATATATTATACATGGATAATGGAAATGTAGATTTTACGACTATATGGAGAAATGAATACATTGGAAACAGGGCTTGAAAGTGACTCATTTCTTACACTTGCATGAAATTTTTTTGCACGCTTCGCACTGCTTTCAACTATTTTAGTTGTTACTCAAAATAAATTTGTTTCATAGTACCTGCTTTGTCATCTATTTCCTCGTCCTCTTCTGGATTGGATACTCTAGACGAAGCCGCATCTTTGTCATCAACTAGCGGATGTTCAACCGGTTCATCCCGAGAAGTTACATCTGTAGTTGGCACTTTGGCTTCGGTTGTTTCCGTCAACACCTCAGATTTACCTGTGGGATGAAAAACAGTGTCCAAGAAAGTATATTTAGGTAATGGAAATTTACCCCATCGGCGGTGCCCTCACCTTGCCGGAGCCCCCTGCATTATCAATGCAGGGGGCTCCATGGATGTGTATAACCCTTTCCCCCACACTTGTGAGAACTCAATGGACAACAATCAAAAACGAAAAGAGGAGAACTCTTTCAGCGACTCTTCTTACTCGTAATGAGATTAGTCAAAGCCAACCTATAACGCAGTAAGGGGACTTTGGCTGTCCTAGCAAAGGTTATGGAAAAGTTTTATATTGCTCTCACACAAGAAGCTTGGGTCTGAAGGTGAAAGATCATGGGATTGGGAGAGATCCAACGAGAGTTAATTCATAACAAAACCCCAGAGACCAGGAACATGCATAATTATCCAAAAAGAATCAAATATACTACCGTTAAGTAATTTTTCACCAGGGATTTGACGGCGGTCAAACTGAAGATGTCTGGTGAGCACTAACACTACTTTAAAAGGCGAGCATTTACTACAGTTCATTTTGTTCATTTTGGCAGATAATTTAGATATTTTGAACGTAGGCAATAAACCTATCTTCGTTAAGACAAGGCATAGAAAAGTGATTCACTTAACATTAGGTACTACTATCGAGTAATGAATTGTGTCTATTAAGGAAAGTTGTTCAGATCATCGGTATATAAACTTTAGAATCGAAGGATCTCGTACCTCGATTATATCTCATCAAAACTCCCGGAAAACAAACTGGAAAGCCTACAAAGCAAACCTGGAAACTTCTTCAGACCGGAAGGGTTTTGTAATAAGAGATTCTATAGACTTAGAGTTAACAGCAGACCGATTACTGGAAGCTATCATCTCTATGTACAATGAACATTGTCCCATCGTCAACCAGAAATCAAACAGTGGAATAAAACAGTGGTGGAATAAAGGAAAGGTGAAGGTAGCACTGATGCTGGCCGGACGTACCTACGAAAAAATGTGGGGCTCAAACCAGACATGATGTATTGGCTCTACAACCCTGGTGGTTAATTAAACCCACGATAACATATGAATCTATGGAATGGTGGTCAAAGATGAAGTCTTGCATGTTTAAGATTAACTGGAACAATGAACACAGCTACAGCTGCATTAGACACTTTTCAATCTTCCTTCTTTGCATCTAGTGATAATGGGGGAGAAGCAAGAGTGTCTCAATTCAGACTGGAAAACTCACCGAGTTATATAGGATCGGGAAAACACAAATATCGGAATATGTTGAGGAACGAACATCAAACATGTTTTCGGACCAAATGACACCGCAATATATGTTCGACAGAATCTTCGGGATTGAAGTTTTAAGTCGCGAAGAGTGATGAACAGTCATCTTGAAAACAAGCTCGGCAGGAACACCTGGTTAACAGACGGGTCGAAACCAGAAATGGAACGGAAGCTGGAATTTACCGTGCGGGAAGAAATCTTCATTACAGTTACCCACTCTAGAAGTACACATCAGTCAATGGACAAGGAACATGAAGCGCAATAGGCAAGGAAATGAGCAGATCAATATTATCACAGCCTGGCTGCACTTGGAGTATTGATATACCCTAAAACGACATCAAGAATAGTCTGAAAATGCTGTGAAAACTGAAGAAACTGGTGGAGAGGAAAATATTAATTATATACTGGGGACACTCAGGCATCGCAGGCAACGAAAATGATGATGAACACGGATCATCAACTCCATTTATAGACCTTGAAACAGCTTTGGGGGCACCAAAGTTGTTGATACGAAACCCGATAGGAAAGTGGGTCTATAATAAAACTAGAGAGTACTGAGGAAATATACAAAGGGACAAACGCAAGAAAACCTTTATAAAAAGGACCGCCCGAAAAGAGAACCGAAGGGCTGCTTAAACAAAGCAGGGATCGGTTCAGCACAATTACAGGGTTACTCACTAGACACTGTCCATTGAGAAAACACCTGAACAAAATAGGAGACTGCAAGAGGCAAAAAATTCATGGACAATCCAAATTATATCCAGAAGAATATGATACACATCTAGCAAAGAATCTGTGTACAAACTAGAACAGGGAACAAGATTGATGGAATGGGTATTATAATAAAGAACGGGCTAAAACGCAATAAGACCACGAGGCTGCAGTGTTTTTCGGGGATTTGGGTCATACGGGTCTCACAAAGTAGAAGAAAAAATAGGAATAATAACTTTACGAATATCTGGACAAATAAATGCAAAAATGACATTATCAAAAACCAATTCTATGTACTGAAATATATATGTTGAAATTACTTTTTTTCTATGGCTGCTATCAAAACACCAATAAACAAACTATTTCAACTATCAATTTTGTTGTTACTCAGAATACATTTGTTTAATAGTACCTGCTTTGTCATCCATTTCTGGGAATGTTGAAACTGAGCTAGCGTCATCTTGAAATACTCGTAAATCTTCGTCCCCATCATCTTCTGGACCGGATACTCTAGACGAGGGCGCATCTTCGTCAGCAACTAGCGGATGTCCGAATGGTTCATCCCGAGAAGCCTCATCTGTAGTTGGCACTTTCTCTTCGGATGTTTTCGTAAACACATCAGATTTTCCTGTGGGATGAACAAGAGGAAGAAGAAATGATGTTTGGGTAATGAAAAAACAGATTTCACGATTATATGGAGAAATAAATTCAAAATAAAAAACTGTTTCGAAGTATTGAAATTTTTTTTCCGAAATTACTTTCTTCTACTATTACTATGAAAACACCAACAAACACGTAGGAAACAAGGCTCATTTTACACACCTGTGTGAAATTTTTTCGCACGGGTCTCACTGTGCGAGACTGGCAAAATCAAAGTTGGTAGGCCGTGGTTAAACTTAACTTGTGGTATCTAACATTTCGTCTGTTATTGCAGCAAACATCCTCAGTGGTATATGAGTTGACTGCGAGGACACAGGTAGTATCTCGAAGTCTCAGCAACAAGTGACTGGGGAGCTACGTGTTCACTTGTATTTATACTTTTCATGCGTGGTGGAGATGATGGTGGGGTGTCCACGCAAATGCTCACTTCTGGTGGAATGTCGATCGGAGTCATATTCTAATCTATTTCTGGCCTTCTTGATTACTGGATTTGACGTTCTGTTGGCCTGTATACCTTCTTCTTCTCTGTTGAAATTGTTGGGATGCTGATAAATCTCAATGGCCTCCCTATGAATTCGTGCGTGGTAACGCGTTGTATCAGACACAATGGCAGTTTCCTTTCACTCCATTATATGGTCTTCATTTTCGCAGTCTACTCATATATCACTGAGGATGCCTGCCTCAGTAACAAACGAAATATTTGGTAGTACAAGTTCGATTCGACTACGGCCTAGAAGCCCGAAATTTCTTCTTTCAAATCGTAAGTCTCATCGTGAAAGTCTATTTTCTTATATTGAAAACAATATTCATATTGACGACAATATGAAACTGCAATCTTTCTAAAGCGAAAATCAAAATATTTCACGCCAAAGAAATGAAAAAATCTGGTCGAGAAGGAATTTTTCGATTCATAGCTTTAAGTAACCCATAAATTTAATGTATTTTAGTGTTAATGTATTTTTAAACAGATAGTGGGGGTTATCAAAGAATGTAAACGGGTCTTAGAGCAAGCAGCCTTGAAACAATATGGTTGGCTGCGTTATGTTAATGATACGTTCGTGGAATGGCAAGATGATGAAGAGACACTGAACAATTTTCTATTATATCTAAACTTTCTAGTCCCAAAAATCCAATTCACATTGGAACGAGAAACCCAAGAGACTCTAGCCTTCTTGGATGTTCTTGTGAACAGACATGAAGATGGTACATTGTACAGGAAACCAACACACACAGACAGGTACCTGAACACCACCAGCCACAACAAAAAAGAGGGGTAATTGAAACGTTGGTTGGGAGAGCACAACGTATCTGTGAACCGGACAGTCATCCTGAGGAACTCAATCACCTGAAAAATGCCTCCAAGGGAATGGGAACAGCGAAGGAGAATTAGAGCGGGCTATACGACCCAGGAGAGAGAGCGCTAAAGTAACCCCAGCTAGGCTGGTCAAGGAAAAAGCTTTCCTTCCCTATGTTACAGACTGGATTTTGAGAATCTTAGAGGAACACGACGTGGAACCAATATTTAGGCCAACAAAAAGTATTAGGTAATGTCTGAGGTCGGCTAAGGATCCCAGAAACCCTTAGCAAGAGCCGGAGCCTGTCCACCTTGTAGCTGCGAGTCAGTCTACACGAAAAGAAGTATAGGTACCAGTTTCTCTGAACACAAGAGAAATTGTCGACTCTGACAAACCGAAAAATCAGCTGTAGCCGAACATACTCTCAACAAAGAAGGCATTCACATTATACCATTCGAAGATACAGTAATACTCGATAAAAATCAAAATTACTATCCAAGAGCCCGTGGGTTGGGATACCTAACGGGCGCGTCCCCAGGTGGCGGATAGGGGAAGGACCAGGGGACTGAAGGCCCTGTCCGGGAAGCCAATGTGGCCTTACGGACGGGGTCGCCGGACTCCTGGTCAGTGGCAGAAATAAATAGGGTGAGGGGACCTAAAACCCCCCAAAAGCCTTCGCAAAACATGCCACTATGTACCAGCTACCCAAGGTAAGATGTAAGGAATCGTGCCGACGGCTGAATGGCCGCAGGGTGATATGCGGTCACGAACGATCCCCTTGGGGACTCGGCGAAACCTCATTGTAATCAGCCTACCTCTGGTGATGCGGGGCTCTGCCAGAGGTGACCAACTCTTTCCTTGCTACTCGTGGGAAAACACATTAATGAAACAACACAAAAATAGAAACAACAAAAACAAAAACCAATCCCGAGGCTGGATAGAAATGCTCACCTCAATCTAAGGCGGTGGCTGGGGATGAACAGAAATGTCCACACCAATCTACCGTTTGGAATGGGCTGGACATTGCAGGGGCACTTCCTGCGGCGGGCGCCAAGAGCTCCGCCTTGAATAAAGGCAAGGAACAGGCTGCCTCTGCAGGAAAGATCCCTCACTCGTGCACCTCCACGGAGGGAACCCCAAGAAGGTTGAAGAAGCCGCGCAACAACAATAATATCGCTGCACCTTTCAAAACCTTCGCGGAGTCCACCGTGAGACACCTCAAGGTTGCCAAAGAGAGTGTGTATTCGGCGAGTCTTGGCCTACTTCTGCCAATATAAAGGAGATGTCTCCTAGTGACCTGTCCACCTTCCTGGAAAGGACAGGATGGACGATGGAGGACAACTCCTCGGGAGGATGTACAATGAATCACATGTGGCCTAAGTGCTATGGGCCTACACTCACCCTCCCTACTCTACAGATACAGATACTATCCAAGAGTATATAGAGAGGCAACATAGTGCGCAGATTCTCAATTTTATTTCAAGAAATTGCTTTTTTCATGATTACATACATGAAAGATAAAGAATTTTTTTTGTTGAAATATATATCTATTTTTTCACTCCAAAATGCTCCAACCTCAAATACGAATAGGAAACAGTAACAGGTTTATCAAGTCACGTGGTCTTCTCAGAGCCAATCATGAGAGAATCCGCTGAGATTCCAGCAACTGCCTGCAAGCGGTCTCACTGGCAATCATCTGTAATCTTATTTCCGTCTAGACATAATTCTGAACAAATTCAAAAATCTGAGACTTTCATTTTCAAATTCAGTTATATATCTATCAACGTTGGATTTATTTGAGTTTCACATGAACTGAAATGTGTTTTCCGGCTGAAAATTTTGACAATATTCACATCACGCGCAGGCAACTAGTGCCCATTTGACCTGCCAGATGATTATTCCTCACAGCTTTGATACTTATTATTCATTGTTCAAAATTTCTCACGCTCTAAAATGCCTGCTCTTGGACTATCAACAAGCAAAAAACTACGCTTATAGATTGTGCTCAACAATTTCAAAATGAAAATAACGAAACATGATAAGAACAATTTGGCACCTATGGTATAAAATAAATGTATTAAAAACACTCTTTTCCAACCAGAACAAAAATGCGGTCTCTCGACGCCCGTATTGCTAGCTAAAATAACATTATCAGGAGATAACTGTTTTTGGCATCATCTCCTGATGATTATGTAGATCCTAACTGAATAATTGATACTACAAAAACAATCCATCATGACAGGATTCAAAGTTCGAAAACTGACCCAGTGTAAGTTCATTTTCGATAAAAAGATATTTCCCACTTCTTGGCCTTTTTGTCTTCAATATGGCAATATATCTCATTTTTAAATCCAAAACGAAGAGGAAAGTCAACTAGGAGGATTATAAGAACCAGTTCTAAATTTAACACAAAAACCTATCTCAGCCTTACAACGGCCAATCCATCAAATATATCTGGTGGATATCTTGACAAATATCTGAAACATTTAAAGGAAACTTTTGGAGCAAATTGATACACGAAAAAGGATATAGCGAAGGCTTCACTTCAGACGGCAGAATAAGGAGTGGCAGCAAAAAAACATATGACTGTTCACGGGTTCATGAAGTGAAGGATATTTTTTCCATTTATCCCGAAAGATAGAACTGGATGATCAGACGTTCAATGGTTTTCTACTGCCTGGCATTATTAATGAGACCTAAGTTGGGTCAAACCAGCGCTACGGGTTAGATCATAAATGTTTTGTTTATAGGATCCGGGTTCAACTATTTTTGTAGTTAGTCAAAATACATTAGTTTTATAGTACCTGCTTTATCATCCATTTCTGGGAATGTTGAAACTGAACTGGTATCGTCCTGAAATACCCGTTGTTCCTCTTCATCCTCTTCTTGACCAGATATTCTGGACGAAAGGGCATCTGTATCAGCAACTGGTGGATTTTCAGTTAATTCATCTTGAGAAGGTTCGTCTATAGTTAGCCCTTCGATTGTTTTCGTCAACACGTTGGGTTCACCTGAGGGATGAACTACAGAAATATGAAATGATATTTTGGTAACAGGAATACAGATTTTGGATTTATAGAGAAATATATTCAACAACGTTGGGGGCCTGAAAGTAACTTTTCTCATACAACTTTCTTAAATTTTTTAGCATGGTTCAGATCATATGAAAAATATAGCCTAGTTGATATTTTTTATTCATGCACCGAAGTTCAGTAAACCTGGTTCAAGGTTGGCGGAATCCGAACTGGTAGGCGGTGGTCAAATGGAATTCGCAGTACAAAACGTTTCGTCTGCTACTGCAGCAAGCATCGTCAGTAGTATTTGCGTTGAATGCAAGGACAAGGGTCATATTTCAAATTCTCAACAACGATTGACTAAGAAGCTTCGTGTTCACTTGTATTTATACTTTAATAAGGTGATGGACGTAATGGCGGGGATGGTGATGGTAGTGGCGACAAGGATGGTGGAGGGGTGTCCATGCGAATGCTCACTCCTAATGGGTCAGTTTTTATGCTATATGGTTCTGACTGGTCCACGTTGTCGCTTGTAAGAGGTTGACCGGATTTAATCGCCATTTCTCTTCTAGTCTTCCTGAGTACTGAAAATCACGATCTGTTGGCCCGTATACCTTTCATGAGAAAATAAATATTTCGAAATGAAATCTCGAAATACTCATCTTTCTCAATATTCCTGCACAGTAGGATTTGATTAAATGCCCGCCAGAAATCAACTACCTCCCCGGCTAATACCACGATAGTCTTCGATCGCCTTATTTGCAAGACTATCCCAATCGAATATCTTGCATAAATATTTATAATGTAAGTTCATCGTGGTAATAGCCGGAAAGGTAGTTTCAGGCAGGCATTCAATACATCCTATTGAGAGAGATGAATGTTTCAAAATTAAATTTCCAAATGTTAATTTTCTTTTACGTATGTCTCCCCTCGATACAGTCAACAGAATTTTGTTGATTTATGTATACCTCATTATGATCTGTTGAAATTATTGGTATAAGATATCAATGGCCTCCCTATGAAGTCGTGCGTGGTAAGCATTGATTAGACAGGACAGCAGTTTTGTTGTATTTTATTCCATGATCCGTTTCTGCTAGGATATGTTCTGTAATTGCTGATTTGTAACTTCGAATGAACATGGAGCTTTCCAGTGAATTGTTGCTGAAACTTTGAGATATTACCTTCGTCCTCGTATTCAACACATAAACTATTGAGGATGTCTGCAGCAGTAGCCGACGAAAAGTTGGTACTACAACTTCCATTCGACCACCTAGAAGCCCGGATTTTGTTATCTTTAATCGTAACGCCTACCGTGAAAGCCTATGTTTGTTTGAAGTGGTTGATAATGTTTCATGTTGAATTTTACTAGTTCATACTTACATTATCTGATATGACATAATATGATTTGAAATTTATGAAAGTCAAAAATTAAAATGAATGGCTCAAAATTACTATTATTTCGAGCAATAAACATAATGAATTTCAGGTAGCTAAAGAATATTACAGGAGTTTTTTCCAACACCAAACCGTTATTTTAACACCTCGACACGTGTTTCGATCACCAAGTGATCATCTTTAAGAAGAAGATCAAACATACTTCCTAACCGTGTTAGGAATCACACGTTAAAAGGTAAGACTTCGTTAGTCCTTAGCTCGCACAAGTTTCTCAACTTCTGAGAGTTGTCATTCGTATGGGGGCGACAGCTGATTAACGGAAAAACAGATTTTAAACAGATTTTTAAACAGAAGTTGTCCTTATTTATACCATATAAAACTCTTCTGGGTGTTTCAAATTAATTTCACAACATTGGCTTATCTACTAGTCTTACATTAATTTTACAAGGTGTTCTTATGTAATAGTCAGGTAAATCTAATAATTAAAATATTATTTCAACAAGCTATATAGTATACTATTAGGTATTGGTCCTGCATCGTTATTCATAATATTATTATGTTTACTTATTTCTAAACTCTCATAGACATCTAGATGCCTGTTGTTGTACTTGTCTAAGTAATCTTAATGAACTGAAGTCTATGGAATGGTTTTGTTGCAAAATATGATGGGTGACTGCTGATTTTTCAGGTCTTCCATATTTTAAGTGTGCTTAGTGTTCCTTATATCTTATTTTAATAGATCTTTTTGTTTGTCCATAATATTTTGCATCGCAGTCCTTACATTCAAATTCATAAATTCCACACTTTTCTGAATTCTCGACTCTGTCCTTTGGATTTCCTAAAAGGCTTTGTAGTGTACTTGTTTGAAAACCACCTTCATACCTAGTTCCTTGAAAATCTTCCCAAAGTTTTTCCTGTATTGGTGGTATGGAACTGAGATATATTCAACTTGGTTTTTGTCGTTTCTGAAAGTTGAGATTTCGTTCATTCTCAACCTAAACTTTTTTTCCTGGTTATATAATTTACAATACCCCTCGAGAAACCGTTAGTGGCTGCTATTTCCTGTATTGCACGTTTTATTTTTGTGAACCTCTCATATGTGAGAGGAGTAGTCAAAACACGATCACGAAAAGTCCGCCTAGTACGTTTGTGCTGTCCACAGTGATGTGAACTGTCAGGAATATACATGTACGTGCTTGTTTTTTTTCTAAATAACTCGTATTCTAGCCCTCCATATTGACTCCTCATAAACAAAACGTCATTTCTTGACGTTTTGGTTCCATACAATCAATACACGACAAACTGCGATACAAAATATTATGGACAGACAAAAAGATCTATTAAAATAAGACATAAGGAACACATCGCACACTTAAAATATTGAAGACCTGAAAAATCAGCAGTCGCCTATCATATTTTGCAACAAAACCATTACATAGACTTCAGTTCAATAAGATTAGTTAGACAAGTTAACAACAGGCATTTAGATACCTATGAGAGTGTAGAAATAAATAGGTAAACATAATAATATTATGAATAATGATGGTGGAACAATACCTAATAGTATACCTACTATATAGCTTGTTGAAATAATATTTCAATTGTTACAGTTACCTGACTGTTACATAAGGACACATTGTAAAATTAATTCAAGACTAGTAAATAAGGCAATATTGTGAAATTAATTTGAGACATTTAAGACGCAGGTACCTAGTAGAGGTATCTATGGTATAAATGAGGAAAACTTCGTAAGTATATTTAGTTTGATCTCCCTCTTGAAGATGATCACTTGGTGATCGAAACACGTGTCGAGGTGTTGAAATAACGGTTTGGTGTTGGGAAAAACTCCAGTAATATTCATTACTACACCAAAGGTTCCAAACAGTGCATCACAAGTTCAGGTAGCTAGTTAAATGCATTATGGCATAAACTTCATTTAGTAGTTGAAAGATTATGAGATTAATCGGGATATAATTTTTTATAATATTTTAAAATCCNCGATTGTTCTTTGAAAATAATAATTCACGGGGTGAAAATAATAATTCAATATGGGTATTGTTCTGTATGCTGAAATGAATATATTTCTATTCACGAAAGAATTCGTCGAATTATGAATTTTTTCTGAAAATATACATATTCGGTGTGGGGATTGATTTTCTCACAACAAATTCTAAGGACAAAGACATGGCTTTAACCGACTCATAGTGACTCTCAGAACCTAATTATGAATCATTCTCACAATTTCAATTACAGTCACTGTCCTTATCAAATTGAACCGATAGAATCAAATATTCAAATATTATGATTGTAACTAAATATTGAAACTTTGCATAAATGTTCCTACAGAAAATCACAGGTTTATGATTATAACAGTTACTAGACCCTCACTTTCCTGAGACAACTCAAATATATGCGTAAATCAAATGAAACTCATCAATATAATGAAAAACGAATTGCCACACTTCACTGATTCACATAACCTCACGAAAATAAGACAACAATCCTTCAATTCAAACTACACCTTAAATACCAACAATGTATATATGCTATTCAGAAATATCAATCGAAACTTATCAATAAGACATTTTTATTTCGAATGAAAACATTATTTTAACAGTGACATTTCATTGAAATCAAAAAGAACGTACTTATAATCAAAGTTCCTAGCCACGTCAAGTTAGTCGACTAACTCGGAAGTCGGCTCTAATCTCATATCAAGACACGGTACATTGAAAAAATGAAATCTCATTGTTGAAAAATACGAACCTAGTCGTTTACGAACTCTCTTCATATATTCGATTATTATGTCTCTAATAATTGTACTTTAAAACAAACGTTCTTGTTGAAATTTCCGTTATTAATTTCGATTGACTTAATTTGAGAATCAATATTTTCTTCTTTTATCGAAGCATTCAGCTGACAATATTTCACAAAATATATCGAGCAACCAGTAACAGATAATACAATGCTTGTTGCTCCCATGGTATCGCTAAATAAAGTTTTTCTTGAATACCTAATGGTAATTTATCGATAACATTTTAGGGTCTTGTGGTATTACTTTTGAAAAACCGCCTGGAAACGTAGGTTTAATTTATTGCTTAAAAAATTGAAATGCGTCGGTTTGGATTGAACAAGATGGCGTCCATTCGGGAAGAAAATGAGATGAGGTATTCCACATTGATAGGATCATTTTTTCATAGCATGACTAGTTTCTACTAAATCATCAAGTTTAGTTGAACGTTGAACGAAATGAAGATTTGTATAAAATCATAATTAACAAATAAGAACGCCAGAATACGTTCAGGCGTTCATACCACATTTCCAGTTCAGCAGTACAAATTTCATTAGTCGTTGGAAGCTGTTGATAAATTATTGCCTGCGCTCAGACTAGACTATCCCTACATCTACTTGTCTAATTATTAATAATGAAACATACCTGCTTCATAAGATGTTTTACTTTCTCCGTCTGCCATTTTTCTCTAATTATTGCCACACAAAAAACCGACTGGAATAGACTAATTGGTGAAACAACAATTGAAATCTATAAAGCCATGTTGGTTTATTGGACAACGTTTCAAGGCGCACTAGAATGTGAGATGTGCGCTCATTTACAATGCGCGCATCAGCAACCCTGTCCACAAAGTATTTCTTTAGAATAATTACTAATGATGTTAGAACAGAATGATATCAGTTTCTGAGAAACTACTAGAAAGCCAAAACCTTACTTTCACAAAAATTAACCTCCCCTAAAAATATACCCCTTTCAATTCGAATATTAGTTAGATTCTCAGACAGATTTTTCATGATTGGATTATAACCGTTAGTTTAAATAATTGATAAACTATTTCTACACAATAATAAACGAACGAATCTTCTTTTATGAGCGATTATGATACGGAAAAGAAATACCAAAGCCAATTATACAAACTAATTGATTTTTTCATTTCATGTAATGTACCCGGTAAATTTTCATTTGATAAAATCGAGGATTACTTTTATGTTCCATCAAAAAAATTTACTTCGTGTTGATGATGAAGTCATATTTTGAGAACGCCACTGGGAAATCAAAATTTGAATATGACAATACATTCAAAACCAGCATGCGCTTGCACATAAGTTTTTTATAAAAGTACGCGCATATTATGTCTTAATTGAGAAGAACTGCAAAAGCGCATGAGCTGTTCTAAATGACCACAGATTACAGAAACAAGTTTCAGTGTTCTATGTAAATGACCAGCATCCATGAACAGCATGACTTCATCGTAATTTGAAATTGTCTTACCGTATCCTATGTATTTAATATTGTATTCCTATGTATTTAATATCGTCAGATGAGAGTTGTATAATTCTTAGGCAAATCGAGTATACTTCCTTAAATTTTTTCAAACTCCAAAATGTTCATGATTCATCAAAATGGGCATGGCAACATTGCTGGATATTTGACATTTGTTTGGCATATTTGTTATTTGTAAATAAATTTTACTCCTGAGAAAAGCGGTACAACAGTCCAAGAACCATATTTGAAATGACTCTGGAAGCAATTCCCAAAGACTTAAGAGGTCTTCGTGCCTGTCTGGTGTGCTCTTTGATAAAGGTGAGTTCACTCATTTGCCTCTGGGAATATTACTAATAAATGTGTTCCAGTCCTTTGATCAGTTTGAAAATGATGGATGCGATAACTGTGATGAGTTCTTGAGAATGAAGAACAATAGCGACAATGTTTATGACTGCACCAGTTCAAACTTCGACGGGTAAGCAGGATTTACTCATGTAATCATATTTAACGCTTCGTTTTCAAGTAGTAGAACTCAACAACTTTAGATTCTTGTTACGGTAAATCACGTATGGTGTGCCTCAGCGAATGGATCTGAGACGTTGGTGATGATACAAACGTCCTTTATTCCTGGATTCATCCAGATAACTATTATGATAAAATGAAATATCTGTAATGACAGTGGCTCTTTTGGAAAAAATTGACCTTTGGCTCAGGCTAACAAAGCTCAACTGAATGATAACTGGGATATCTGACCTTGCTCGAAGAGGTGATATAAGATCATGCGGTAGTTTTAACAAAACGGTAAACCTGAAATTATAAGAGATTGACAAATTTCACTTTAAATACCTGCACCAATGACTAGCACCAACCATAAAAAAATAGCTTCAAATGGTCCACAATGTTCAAGGATGTTTCCAAACGTTCTGGAAATTTCTAGAGGGGGAAACTTACCACCTTAATATCTTCAAAAGTACTCCATATAGGTAAAAACGGAAACATTCTTCATGTATGAGGAATAGAAGGCTAGCACACCATATAAAAATCTCTTGATCGTACCGAGACTTGTTTCTGAGTTTTAGCTGCACACAAACATTTTACACTTGCTTTCTTAACATTTAATTATTTCTCTCGACTGTTTGTATCTTATATATCTATATGTATTTCAATCTATGTGACTTGTAATTTTTACTTATTTTATTATCTCATCACAGTAACTGACTTGCTCTGAAGAATGTGTAATTGTAAATAAACTAGTTAAATTCTTCTCTGTTGTATAAAAATGACCTTTCTATTTCTCATTCTTGCAGGATGATTTCTATGATAACCCCTGAAGACAGCTGGGTAGCCAAGTGGCAAAGAGTTAGTAAGTTATTGAAAAATGAACAGATATCATGAAAATTATGAAATGTTCTGTTTCAGATCGTTTTTGCAGAGGTGTGTACGCAATTTCTGTTTCGGGTCGCCTTCCAAATAGTGTTGTTAGAGAACTGAAGAGCCGTGGCCTCGTCTATAGAAGCAGAGACACCAGCCAGAGATAAATCTATTATACATGGTGTCAATTTCCAAACAAACTACCCTTGATATTTCGGCCCCAATAGAAAATCTAAAAAATATTCAAAAATATGTCAAAATTATTTTCAAGGGTTATATGTTCTAGCAACTTTCAGCTTTCACCTTTCACTTCCATTGGAGAAGGGGGTTGATCGATATGTCATTTTAAAGGTCATTTAGCTACGCACTTAGGCCACATGTGACCCATTGCCATTGTGACCCATCCTCCCGAGGAGTTGTCCTCCTAGGTCGTCGTCCATCCTGTCCTTTCCAGGAAGGTGGACAGGTCGCTGGGAGAGCTATCAGTGCAGATTGTTATGTTTTGCCAGAAATTCTTTTCTTGGTTATTTCTTTTGTGGCGATTGAGATACCAGCCAGTTCTGTTTGGACCATGCTGGTATTTCTTCCCATTCCCCACTTAATCCTTAGGCTTAGTGATCTGGAGACCACTCCACATCCTGAGCCTTCTTTGGTTTTTTTAACAGGTAGCAATGGCAATGTTTATGCTTGTGAATTTTCAAGGATTCTAAATAATTGAGTTTGTAACCCTTCCTTGAATAGTGCAAAATTTCCGTATCGTTTCCTAGTTCAGCATACTGTTTTTGGAAATTTTGACCACATTGTCCCACATAAACACTATTACACTCCGGACACTTAAGCTTATAAACTCCAGATTTCTCCAACTTGTCCACCTCATCGTTAGCATTGAAAAGGAAATGAGATAACCTGGCATGTGATCTAAATGCCACTTCCACATTGCTTTTTCTGTAGAAACCCGCAATTATCTCTGTTCTTTTTCCAATATATGTTAGCGTTACCCTTTTCTTGATTTCTGGTTGTTTGACCTGAGGGTATATTAATCTGTAAGTGAATTTCCCACTTCGTTTCCTGACTAACTTCTGGATAGTATCTGCGTTGAAACCATTATTATGACCTATCTGATATAATTACACAGGACGAAACTGCAGTAACGTCAATTACAAATAAAAGTGGTAAAAAACATAGTTTCATTTCTCTTTTCTTCAACATTTAGATACCCCTTCAAAAATACCACATGCTTGATATTTCTTTTCAGTACTTATTGAGAAATCAAGTAAACATGTTAAGGTATTTAATTATCAAGTGTATTGCAATGAAACGTAAAAGATCAACAATAAGTGATTTTTCTTATTGAATGTTAATGTTGTTCTTTATTTTCTAAACGATGATAAAGTCTGCTCTCAAAGTCCTCTCTAACATTCCAAAAAACTTCCGCCTGAAGTTTTCCACACATAGCTGTTATTCTCCTCTTCAAATCTGCCAAATCTCGATTAATAATCAATTTTAGAACAGAAATGCTGTCTCTCGACGCACATTTCCCAACTTTATTTGTGACTACCATACAAGTATTAGTTTAGGTAAATTATATCCTTTCTAATAATAAGTTTCGAAGGAACAGTATGCTTCTTTATTATTTTGTTGGATATCAGAAGTAAAAATACTATAAACATTTACTGTTATGTGATAACGGCTTCTCGCGAACTACTAACAAAAAAAAGTTGAGTATGTGGTATTTTTGAAAAGTTATCTGAACGACCTTTAATGAGGTATCACTCAACCTCCCTTTCCATTAAGGATTTTAGTGGATGTGTCCGTCCCAACTGGAGGGTTGATGTAATTTATTCAAAAACTAGCCTACAAAGTGTCTCCCTTGAAAATAAGTTTCACATATTTTTATATACGGGACAAAATACATAGGGTGGTTCATTTTCAAATTGACACTGAATATTAATTTTGTACCAGATATGTTCCAACTTGGAGTTCCCAACTAACAACTTTCCAGTTTTTTAAAAACCAAATAGAACATTTATAAAATGTTAGCAAATTGTTAGTGAAATGTTATTACTGTAATGAATCTTGTTGAACACGATAAGTATTTACATTTACAGAGCTAAAAAAATGTTCATATGTAATTGTCATGAAGTGTTTTTAAGAGCTTCAGTATTGTATATTATTCATTTTTATTGTCAATTGAGGAATTGCCAAAAACCATTAATGTAAAATTTTTATAAGCAGTCCATAATTGTTTGACAAAAAACATTTTAATACATTTTATTCAATGAAATTATAAAATTATTCGTAGACTAACAAACACCTCTTATTATTTTATAATTGACACAAGAAGTGTCGATCAGATTCCTCACATATATGATTGAATCGGCAGATACTCGATGGAAATCCATATGTGGTCATATGTGAGTCAAGCTTTATTCCTTGAGATTTATACCACTTCATCCTCAAAACACTTTGTTTCGAAAATGGTTTTGTTTTATTTTGATTCAGATTCTAAGATGTCTTTTTCTAATGTTTTGATGTTGATCTGATAACTATCGTTTCATAATGAATTTCATTAGTTGGGACTTCCATTGTATTATCATCTGCAAAGAGACAAGTCTGCACAAGGCGAGTTATTAATATATATTAGAAACAGAAGTGGAACACTATGACAATTATGTTATTGATGATGTCGTTGTAAGACATATCATTTTGTGTCTAGTAGGTAGTGTGAAAGGAGGTTTAACATTTGACCTCTAATACCACAGTAAAAAGCTTTATCTGTAGCAGGATATCGTTCGAGACACAATTGGAGGATTTGCTAAAGGTCAAGATATATGGTAATCGTAGTTTCTTCCATTTTCAACCCGTTCATATATATATATATATATATATACAGAGTGACCCATTTGAAAGCGGGCCACCTCTCTAAAACTGTTATTTATTATCCGATTCAGAAGTTTTTTTTTTCAATAGATAGAGCGTCAATAGTTCTATTAGAGTGCTGTGAAGTCGAAATATAAATAAAATTTTCAAGGCCTACTTCGAATTTTTTTCAAGGTCAAAAATCCAAAAAACATACTAGC